AGACGATACGACTCGTGGAGCGTTCCTTGGTTCGGATGCTTGCTGAGGTGCAGGAAAACCGGGTTCGGACCGAACATCTGGGGTTACGGTGACAGTTTGGGGGGAGCGAGCAAAGTGTGGTCGCGTGTAATTCGCGGGGTTAAGCGGTGGTTCTCAAACGGCAAATAGTATTGCCTATCACTTTCAGCAGCTGTCTGGTTGGTGAGATGGCTGCGATCTAGGTCTGGGGATCGCGCCTGGTCGCCGGCTCCGAAACCCCCGGTGTCCTAGGCTGAGAAACAGAGGATGGAGAATTGGCCCATGCCCTTTCGGTTGACATCAGCCGGGTGAAAGCGTTGGCAGCAGGTTTCTGCACTGTCGACCATATTCTAGGCTGCTCGGTTTCGCCAAGATGCGACCTGAGTGCAGATACCCCGAGATTTGTCCAAGAATAGTTAGCAGCCATCCGCCATCGGCTACAATTGGAGCGGCTTACCAGTCGTGGAGACGGGTCGCGACGTAAATTGGGCGGTCCGAGGGATAGCGCCAACAGGGAACTGACACAGGCAAGCGGTCGTGTCGTCATGTTACACCGCTCGCTCAGCTACCCCCGGGCTCATTCCTACAAAATTCTGTTGGCAGTCTCTCATGATCCGGGCTGTGGTAGTCCTGCTGCTCGGAGAGTGGCAGGGGAACGCGAACAAGATGGTGGGAATAGGGCCTTGGCTCGCAGCACGCTGGCCCAGAGGATGCGGGGTTGAGGCACAAAGGGATCGGCACGACACGGATGCACTGACCATCAACCCCGGTAGAGCTATTCGATCTGATTGTTACGCACCTGCTTGGCTCAACTGCACTGCTCGCCCTTCGCTTGAGACAAAACGAGGAGAACTGATGCCTGAACGCCTCAGCCACGCCGAACCCATGTGGCGAGCCGGCTCCGATCGGGGTTCATCGTTGCCGATCTTAGCGTTTCCTATATACTGCACTTATCTAACGAGGTAAACTGACTCCAAAGACTCTAGCGATACCGCTTATAAGGCACAGTTGGGAGGCTATGATTATTAGTAGTGCTATAAATGTGAACTTATCAGTCTGAAGCAATACACAATTTTCCGGCTCAATAATTGTCACGTCCTACAGCCTTATCGGAGCCTGCTGGCGATGTTCGAGGATACACTGCATCCTCAATCATTACACATACCCACTAAAAGCTTCACTTCAATATCAGAATTCGGCTTCCAGGCTAGTCCTTTGATACTGTTCAATCACGCTTTATCCAGTGAGCATCTCTTGAGTAGATGGTCGAGGTATCAGCTCAAAAGAAGCGAATTTCGCCTCTGGATGGCTCATACCTGAAAGTTTGCGAGAAATTTCAGGCAGATATCTGGGATGTCACAAGGCATAGAAGGTCGGCGGTTCTTTATGTTATCGGGCTTGGCTTTGTTTTGGAATGTTTGATCAGCAGCGCCTCTGCAAAGCATGAAGTTGCTTCGCCGAGAGTACTGTATGCTACTTTCGTGTTCTCAGTCTTTGGCTGGCAAAAAACAAGCGAAACACGTCTCGTAGCTTTGATGACGCTCTGGGGATTCAGTCAATCAGAAAATGGGGGTTGTGCACCCTGTTTTATCTCGTTTCATCCTGAAGTTTCCGCAACTAAGAACAATACCATCACCAGAGGTTACGATATTCAGTTCCGGCTGATCAAGTTGTCAGTCATGTATGGCTTCTCAGACTGTAAGCTCAGCTATAAGTAGTGAGAGACGATCCCTAAGCATCTTCGTCCAGCTATAAAGTGATGCAGATGTGACAAAGCTGCCCCAGGTGGTCTCAAATGCGAAGACGCCACTCCCGTAAGTGGAAAAAATGGCGAGCTGATTATGCTTGGACAGAGCCCCAAGCCCGGCAAATGCCCAAAATGTCCCTCATAGTGTATTCACTCTTACGGGTAATAGCTCTCATGCGAGGGCTGATGTCTATAGGATTATGGCTCCTAAGATTGAATAATAATCTTCCGAAGGAAGCGCTTACAAGCCAGTACAGTCCAGGATTTTCCCCCCGTCCCGTCTCTCTCTCCTAGCTTTTGAGGCGCTCCAGTCGATCTGAAACTATGATTCCGGCCAAAAGAAATCCGAAAAAGGACGACAAGGACCTAAGTATTGTGTCGCCTTGTTAGTGCGCGGCTGTTGTATCCAGGACCCACAAGGGGGTTTTATCTTCAAAGCACTGGGCGGGATATACTGGATACAGACATTTGAGGTCTTTGAGCTACAACTGCGTTGAATCGTACCCTCCCATCTGACAAATTTTGAAAATGTTCTCCAGATTTCAGAGAGAGGCCACGTCAGGAAGTCCCCCCTTCTCGAACAGGGCCTTAACATCAGTCTCGCAGAGGTTGGCATAAGGTCTATTCCCGATCTTGAGCTCGTACATCAGGGCGGCGAATGCGAACCTATCTCCATTTATCGACAATGGGTCGTACTGATAGCTCGGAGGGACTTGTGTCAGGAGAGGCGGCGAATTGGTTGAGGATCCTGCGGAGTTGGAAAGCTTAGCAACAAGCTCATCGTCCAAAAATATACTTTCGCAGGTGTAAGGTCTCCGTGTATGATACCAGCATCGTGAATGAACGCAAGAAAATCCGCTATTTGAGTCATCCAGTGGAGCCGAAGAGCTGAGTTGACCTCCTGCCGCTTCGCGAAAGACTGTAAATCGATTCTTGATGCACAATCGAGACAAGATTGCGCCACCCCCAAATCCGCCGTGATATGAAAGAATAACCTGATGCGGCCCTCTTTCGGCACACCTCTTGTAAATCTCCCGTTCTCTCGCAATCTGATAGCGGCTTCCGATACCCAAGGGTATGGCTGAGTCGAGGACAACGAGACCGGTACTGCCCCAGGCGACGATATCGTCAACACCGAGCCCAGGAGGAAACGGTCTATCATCGGACGCCATCATGGTAGTTGATAGAGCCACACAAACTCAATGGAAGGAAAAGTCGGTGAAGGTGGGACAACTCTTTGCGAAGTGTTTGGGTTTACCTCCTTTGAAGAGTTCCTGGAATACCCATTAGAAAACCCAGACTAGCATCCGCAGACGGACCAGGCACAGTGAGTTGAACACTAAATTGATTGTTGTGAGTACCTGGGTAAGCAAAAAGGCTACGGCTTTTGGAGGTCATCATGGCACCCAATCGTCGGTAATGCAGCACCACCAACGGATCATGTGCCAGGGTCCCGCAGTACCTGGAGGCGACGCTTTGGGATCAGTCAGATTCCCGGTGTTCGGTGTTCTTGTGGTGCTACCCAGCCAGCAGTCATTTGCACTACAAGGCTCCCTACGTTGTTGCGTGGGCATTGCGGCTTTGGAGCATCCATTTCGTCGGTTCAGTGTTAGCTGGAACTGTCATTCAGGTATAGGGTGCTGTGCGCGAAGTCATGTTTGCTTTGATTCGCCCCTGAACGCAAGATAGCCTCTGTTGGGCGTATTTTAGCCGCCCTTCGCCCCAACCGCATATCAGTCCTCGGCGTCGAGCAGACGCCTGTCGCCTCGTGACAGCCTTGCGGACAGGGACAAGACTGGAGCCTGTTTTTCCACGTGACAAACACATTTTGACTCGGCATCTAAAGGCTCCAAGTTCGTGATCTCCTCGCCACAACCGGGATCCCACCGCCACCACATCCATCTGTATCCACTCCACATAGAGCCCAGCCATGAACTCGAAACGCCCACACCACAACGATGAACCTCAGTCGGAATATTCAAAGAGGCCGAAAGCGTTTGACATCAGCGTCCGCGCTGACGCTGTCAGCAATCTAGCCCCGCACGACGCACTCCCCTCCTCAGCGGTGCACAAATATACAATAGCCTGGATTTGTGCGCTTCCTCTTGAACTCGCCGCGTCGCGCGCCATGCTCGACGAAGAGCACCAAGCGCCAGTCATCTCAGCAAGCGACAACAACCAATACGTGCTGGGGCATATCGGTCATCAGAACATCGTCATGACGTGTCTTCCACGACAATACGGCAATAGTAATGCCGCACTTGTTGCAACCGACTTGAAGAGGAGCTTTCCGAGCGTCATAGTCAGTTTGATGGTGGGCATCGGTGGCGGGTCGCCCAGCATGGCCGACTTATACCTTGGCGATGTCGTCGTCGGAACCAGAGTCATGCAGTATGATTTGGGTAAGATACTCTCAGCGGGACAGTTTCAGTCAACAGCCGACGCCAAAATTCCTTCGTTACGACTACGTTCTGCCATCACGGATTTACAAGCAAGTCATAGGCTGCAGCCAGGCGTAAACAACGGGGCTGCAACCTCGAGCCTTAGAATGGTTCGCATCCTATATGACAGGCTGCAGAACCACCCGCGCCCAACTCAGCCTGATCACCTTTTCCAAGCAGCATATGAACATCCCGCCGATTCAGCAGATTGCCATGATTGCGATTTGGGGAAATTACAAATGCGCGGCAGGCGTGATATTCAGGACCCCAGAATTCACTATGGGGTCATCGCGTCAGGGAATAGTGTCATCAAGGACGGGAAGACTCGAGACGATATTGCAAGACATTTATCGGCAATTTGCTTCGAGATGGAGTCCGCCGGCATGATGGATAACCTGGAATGCTTGCCGATTCGAGGAATCTGCGATTACTCTGACTCGCACAAGAACAAAGGTTGGCAAGACTATGCTGCCGCGACCGCAGCCGCATATGCGAGAGAACTGGTAGAGAGACTTCCTGTATGGCGTAGGGAACTCGTCCATGATCCAATGCATCCTACCAGCGCCGGCGCAAGTGAGGCCGCCAGTGAGTACTCCAGTGTCTATCAGTTTCAATTCCTCACTAACAAGCAATGTGTCACAGGCGGTCATATCTTGACTCGGCGCCAAGAACTACTTAAAGTCCTCAGGTTCGACGATCTGGAGACTCGCAAAGCGATTATCAAACAAGCACACAGAAAAACCTGTCGCTGGTTTCTCCAGCATCCTGCCTACCTGGACTGGCTCAATCCTGCGATGCAGAAACACGACCACGGCTTCTTGTGGATGAGAGGCAAGGCAGGCGCCGGAAAGTCGACAATGATGAAATTTATTTACCAAAGAATGAAAGAAAAGCATAGAAGCCCTGATACAAGTATTGCCTCCTTCTTCTTCAATGCTCGAGGCATGGAACTGGAAAAGTCAATTTTGGGTATGTACCGATCACTTCTGGTCCAGCTCCTCGAACAGGTCCCGGATCTTCAGTCTGTCCTAGAGGACTCTGAAGTAATCCCTGTGAACCAGCAAGACTGCCCTGGCCTCAATGCTTTGAAGGAGCTCCTCCAGAACGCCGTTATGGCGCTTGGCAATCGGTCATTCATTTGCTTCATCGACGCTCTTGACGAATGCGACGAGCTCCAAGTACGAGATATGGTGCAATTCTTCGAGGAACTTGCAGAGTCCACCACCGAAGATGATACAAAGTTCCGGATTTGTTTCTCAAGTCGACCATACCCTTATATCGAGATTCGTCGCGGGACGATACTTACGCTTGAGGGCGAAGCAGGACATTCGGAGGACTTGGCAAGTTACGTCAAGTCCCGGTTAATGGTCCCGAATTCGCTTACCGAGGAGCTACGATCCCAGATTGTTGAAAAGGCTTCCGGAATTTTCATGTGGATCGTCCTTGTCGTAGAGATATTGAACAGTGAAAGCAATCATGGTGCCCTCGCCCTACGGAAAAGGTTATCAGAAATACCCTCTGAGCTCAGCCAACTCTTCAAGCGGATATTGACTCGAGATGGAAACAAACCGGAGTTCTTATTGCTCTGCATTCTATGGATTCTTTGCGCAAAGCGGCCACTTTCTCCAACAGAATTCCGGCATGCCATGTGGGCAGCATTACTAGGAAAAGGTCTTGTCGATGAGGAATTGCCAGACAATTCAGATTCGGAAGCTTCCAAACTCGTCACGAGTTCTTCCAAAGGACTTGCAGAAATCACCAAGGCCAAGCAGCCAACAGTGCAATTCATTCACGAGTCGGTGCGGGACTTCTTAGTCAAAGACAAAGGTCTACAAGACATATGGCCTGAGATTGGATTTGAATGGGAGGCACCCAGCCACGAACGGCTGAAGAATGCATGCGTCTCGTACCTGAATCATCCCACAGTCCGGGCAATCAGGCATCAAGCTACCAATAAGGCTCATGAGAGAGCAATAGTAATGACCAGCCCCCCTCCAGCAAAGTCTATCAGGGAAACAGAAACAAAAGACCTTGCAAGGTTATCGTTTGTCAAATATGCCATTCAGCAAGTTCTTTGTCACGCTGATGCAGCGGCCCTTTTCGCGCCTCAGGGTGATTTTTTATCCGATTTCTTCAATGGTACCGGCGGACTCAGATGGCTTAATTACTTCGAGACTCGCAAGACTCGTCGATTTAGCGAATTCGCAACACCTCTTTATGTACTCGCGGACAGAGGGCTGGAGAAGTTGATAAGAGCGCGTATGTGGACAGAGTCACCGATGCGCGTTCAAAAGGAACGATATCAATATCCACTCTTCGCGGCGTTGGCCAACGGCCATAAGGGGGCCGCAGCAGCCCTTTTGGGCCTGCCCTCACTTACTTGTGATGGTGTTGACATGTCCGAAGGTATCAACTTCATGAAGGACATGGTAGGATACCGAGGTCGAACACCGCTATCATGGGCTGCTCAGGAAGGCAGAACAAAGATTGCAGAAGCGCTTATCCAAGGAGGATCAGATCCTGATGAGAAGGATACACGAGGTTCTAGGCCACTCGAACTTGCTTTGAAGGGTAAGCATGAGGCAATGGCCCAATTGCTTGTAGACGCCGGGGCATCGTGTCACAGCTCTGACCTATTCGAAGCTTGCAGTCAAGGTTTAGAACCTATTGTGGCACTACTTCTGGATAGGTGTGGAGCGGATATAGATATTCTGGACGGAGATATGAATTCGCTGGTTCTAATGGCCTCAAGAGCCGGTAATTATGGTACTGTGCGGCATCTTTTAGAGAAAGGGGCAGCAATAAACCTCCAGAATAATGCTGGGGATACCGCACTTATCAGGGCCGCTTCTCATGGCTACGAGGAGGCTATACAGCTTCTTTTAGAGAAGGGGGCAGCAATAAACCTCCAGAATAATGCTGGGGATACTGCACTTATGTGGGCCTCTCGACTTGGCTGCACAGGGGCTGTACAGATTCTTCTAGAGCATGGCGCCTCTATAGACATGCGGAATTCAGCTGGAAGTACAGCACTCATGTGGGCCTCTCGATTCGGCCATACGGGGCCTATACACCTTCTAGAGCATGGCGCCGCTACAGACATCCGGAATTCAGCTGGAAGTACTGCACTTATCCAAGCCTCTCTTTTTAGACCCGTGCAGACTATAGAGCTTCTTTTAGAGAAAGGGGCAGCTATAGACCTCCAGGATCGCTCTGGGGCTACTGCACTTATATGGGCCTCTCGACTTGGCTGCACGGGGGCTGTACAGGCTCTTCTAGAGCATGGCGCCGCTACAGACATCCGGAATTCAGCTGGAAGTACAGCACTTATAGAGGCCTCTCGAATTAGGAGGGAGGATATTGTGAAATATCTCCGTGCAAGAGGGGCACTCTATTAAGCCTCCTGGGTGTGAGGTGAGGATATCCCCATTCTTCTCTAAAACACTTGCATCTACAAATACATATAATCAGATCTGAATACAAGACTTACTGAGGCCTTGTGCGACGGATATCATGGTATTTTAGAGCCGCTTTCGAAGTCAGTCGCAAATGTAGAAACTGAAAATCAGCAAATGAGTCATTCATTCAAACTAGCTTTTGGTACTAGTTTGCAATCTGCGATGAAGAATCACAGAAAAGGTATACCGAGTGACTTCTAGCCTTATAACTTGGGTTGAAGAACTCCATTGCTTGGTCTGTTCTGCAAGTGAGGCTGCATGAGTGGTTTCTACTATTAATCTAACACGACTTCCAACACTGATGACAATATAACCAAGAACCATTCTTTGAACGCCCGCGATATCCGTCAAAGCCTCTCGATGAGAGGTCCAGGCTGATCAACTTCTATCAATCTTTGTTCAAGCCTAAATACAATAATGCAACTGGTCAAGCTAGGATGGGATCCAGTCTTTGAATTATAAAAATCTCCTTGGTGCAAATGCAATTCAAATCATTGTAATACGGGAAAGCTTTCTAACGTCCCTTCCATGGAGCAAGGTATACACTGCGCAAGGGAGGTGTGATGCCCGCTAAACACCGCCTCAAGGTGTTGCCGCGACGATCAAGTGAAAACATTTACCACACTGAGTCTAACGAGATGTGTGCCTTCCCGTCCATTGTATATCATCTAGTGCCACGCATGGGCTTAAATGTCTGATGTTGGTTCATGATGCGCTGGCATTTTATCTCAATATCATCACTGCCAAGTTCCCATCAGCAGCTTACGTACTAGACCCTCGCCGTCAAGAGCCACGGTCTTCGACAATCATGTCTACCCAAGATCCTTCCTCGACGACAGAGGCCTCTACAAGTATCCTCCCACGACGCGACCAAACCCCCTGCGCAGGCTGCGGCTACACCCCGCAGCGCGCCTACCAAGATCAAACCAAGTACAGATCCCAGCTGGCGCTCGACTTCGTCGGCCGCGACATCGCGACCTGGACCATCGGCGCCGACACCCTTCTCAAAGACAGCTCGGCCGCGCAGGGCAGCAACGAGGTCGACACACTCCGCTTCCTCCGCAGGAAGGTGCCCGAGCTGCCCACGCCCGATGTCAAGGCCACGTGGGAGACGGGCGGCAGGCGGTACATTGTCCAGGACCGTGTGCCCGGCCAGACCCTCGGCGCGGTGTGGCACGAGCTCGACCTATCTACCAAGGTCCGGATACTGGACCAAGTCGTTGCGGTGGTCGAGCAGTGGCGCACCTTGACGAGCGGCAAGATGTGCAGCGTCACCGGTGGCCCAGTCGAATCTCTCCGTTGGTGGTCGGCAGGATTCACGCCGTGGGGCCCCTTTCGGCGCAAGCGCGAGCTGTTCGCCTACTTTGAGGATGCGAGGGGCGGTTTTCCTGGGGCGGTCCGCGATATGCTGTGGCGGAATATGCCGGACTGTCGGCCTTGGACGTTCTCGCATGGCGACCTTCATGTGTACAACATTATGGTGGAGGATGGGAACCTCACCGGGATCATCGACTTTGCGACGGCGGGGTTCTATCCGATGTGGTGGGAGTATGTCCAGCTGAGGCTCGCGTGTGGAGCCAGGCCGGATCACGAGTGGAAGCACATGCTCCAGCTACGGATGAAGGATTCGTGCCATGAGGCCGAGGCGGCCATGACGTGGGCGAAGGCCTGCGATGAGCTCGCTTCCCTGCCGGACAGCATAACGAACGCCACAGTTGGTTGGCTGCGTGAGCAGTTCCCAAACGAACGTCCTCGAATATGCGAAGTGATTGCAGACGCGCGTCCAGGCAACGATCAGAACGAAGGGGGTGAGTTACAGCGAGGAGGTGGCCTAACAGCGAAGCCCGTGCCTAAGACGACTGCCACGAAGGCATGTCTTGCGCGATGGCGTGCGAAACTGACGACGCGGCACGGATTCTAGCGGTGAGCAGCAACTCATGAGTTTCGAGCTTTCAAACTGAGGTACTTCTCAGACTGAGTCGTAGGAATTTCTTCGTGGTCCATGTGCCGACGCCCGTTTCGGGTACGTTGTCAAGCGTGTGAACGCGGTCCTCATGCGGCGGCGGAGTCGCACGGGTGGAAGAACTGGTCGACGGGTGGTACATCGCTGACGGGGCAGGCTCGAGGTCCACAGGGGTGTCACGCCGCTTCGAGAGGTCTTCGGCATTCTTGGAACACAGGTTCCCGAAGAAGCCAGAAACCCTTTTCGGTATTGTCCTCTTGGTCGATTCGCTGCGCCGTACGGTGCTGTGCTGGAGATGACTTTCGAACGAGTTGATTTCGTGAGAGGCCTTGACGACCTTGGCGATGAGCTGGGCCATGTTCATCTCAATGTGGAGTTTGGCGAGATAGGCAAGAGGGTGGAATTGGGCATAGCTGTGACACTTAGCACCAGAGAGGGCAAACATAGAAATAAGTTACCCACATGAAGGTATTCGGCAAAGACATGAGGCCGATGATCATGATATCGAGAGACATGGAGATGCAGATCATGGCCAGGTTGAAACGAAACAGCACGGTGTACTTGGTCAGACCGGACGCGATCAGTCGCGACCTGACAAGATAGATGAATGCGAGGTTGAGCCCTAAATCAATGATGAGGAAGATGCCCTTCTCGATGCGGTCCCAGATGTTATTAGCATGAATGATGCCCTCGCTGATCTGCAGGCGTGCAGGGATCCAAACGCAAAAGACGCTGATGTTGATGGCCAGCAGCACGAGGAACACACCCCATTTGAGACGAGTTGCGTGAGCTGGAACGTGCATGAGGAGGGCGATGCGATTTATGATGATTTGCATGAGGCACTGAACCTGGATCGACCAGAAGACGACTGGCGCGGTCAGCAAAATGTTTGCGAACAGAGCTTCTATAATCAATCGGGTTTGTCTCCGGCATGACTTACGGACGAAGAAGAAGAACTCAAAGCTGTCAGACGTCAGCATCACAGATCTCTTCAAGAATGAGGTTCACGGTCGTCTTGCTCACCTGGGGCCGAACCATCCTCGAAGGAAGATCCAAGAGATGATGCCAATGATCATGCAGGAAATCCACTCGGCCCATATCAGCGCAATGTAGGCGTTGACTCGGTGTATCTTGTTCAGCGTCGCCATGGTCTGCTGGATCGCCTTGGTACCGGTCCAGACACCCAGTCCTAGCGTGAAGCCCCAAAAGATACTCGCGATGTTCTCCTCATCTCGATTCGGCGGGTTGGGCTTGTACCAGGGCGGCACAAGCGTGCCTCCCGGGCTGTCGGACATTTCGGTCTTGACAGCGGTGGTCGGGCGTTGACGGCTATCATCAGTACATGCGTAGCGCGCAGAATGCGAGGCGACACACGAGGTCAAGATGTAGAAATTTCGGGCACCGAACACGGTCAGCCTCCCGAACACACAGATGCAGCGAAGACAGTCAATTGAATCATGACAAGGAAAAAAAAAAAGCCTACCCGCCAGCAGCAGGTTGCGAGGTAGAAGAAAGCCGGATGGCGCCCGCGGTACAGCCTTCCCAAGGGTGGACTGATGCATGGGGGGGCGTTCGCGGCGGACCATCCGATGGACGCCGGCGCCAACTCTAATCCTGTTGCTGGCGAAGACACGGATCCAGATGCCGATCAGATCGTGCACAATTGGCAGGCCACACTGCGACACTCGGACATTGTGGGTTTCGGGGTCCAATACAATCAGGTCCAATTCTCTAGCTAGTATCGCTCGAACACCTAACGGTGACGTACTACTGCAAATACCTGACTTGCCACGAAAGAAAGATGCGAATCTAAGAAACTGGTGACAAAGATTTCCGTCGGAGATGCAGATGTCCTGCTGGGTACTCGGTCACTGCCGGCGACTACTGTGACCGCAGCCGACAAACGACTTCAGATACTTGCCCTCACAAGGGAACAGGCGAGTGAAACATGGGAGAAGGGGGGGTTGGCGTTGAGGTGCGTCGACGGCAGCGGGATGTGTCGAACGGCGACTTGTTCGTTGGTCTTTCATCGTTGCGATCTAAGACGTCGCTTTCGGCTGGTTCGGCTGGCCAGGCTGTCTTATCCGACAATGGCAAACGGCTTGTCGGGACCGGGCTGGTGGGTGGTCGGCCATGGTCATTGGCGTCGTGGAATGCAATGTCATCAAAACGCAAGGATGTAGCAGGATGCAGAGGCTGCCAAAGGGAAGCGGTGACAGTGACTGATCGTCCCAGTCTATTGAAGCACGTTGCTTCTTCGTGTGCTGTGCAACCCAGCAACTTCACTGGGGGGATCAGGTGTCTCAAATCCAATCTGAACGCAGTCGTCAGCTTGTGGCCCAGGCTGGAGTGACACCTCACTTGGTTGCGGAAGTTGTGCTGTGGCTTGCAATGCGTCGAAAGGTGTCACATGCCTGGATAGCCAACCACCACTGAAGTAGCCACCAGGGGAGCACTGAGCCACAAGGCCGCGAAGGCGCAAAGCACCTTGAAGCGCGCTTGCCAGGAATGCTCAGTTGTTGATCGCTTCTTTCAAGAGTCGCACGGTACTGGTGCCCATCTGCGCCAGATTGGCCCAGATGCTGACCTTGTCGACGAAGACTTGGGGCTGGCCCAGTGTCGATTCCTTCTTCCTCGCGTGCTGTGGTGGCTCGCGAGGCTTGAAGATGGGATCGTCGGTGCGGGGCAGTCGGGGCGCTGCCGCCGTAACAGCTGTGTCGGCCTTTGCATCCAGTGGCGTAAGAAGAGACTTGACTTTTTGTTCGGGTTGGCTGGTCATGTTGATGATACAGTTGGCAGTGCGAGGAGTAGAGCGCGGGATTCATTCGTGGCTGGCAACATGTCTTATGTACGAACGACCTGTCACCCTGACAGCACATATATTTTCGGCCTGTAGGATGATGCTTGCTGGGATAGTTGCTCCGCCACCTCGTTCAAGACCACTTCACGTCGTCGGCAACAGCTGGAAGTAGGCGGCGCATTCGCCGAGCCTGCGCCGCCTTCCCTGTACAGGGCCTCGCTCGACAGGCGAAGGATTGTTTGGGGTCAGGGTCCGTATTCGCATTGCTGTTGCGTGGTCATGTCCATAGCAGCACGCCCTGCCAGAGCAGACCGCCACTTCAAGCCGATGCCAGAGAACAGTGGAAGCTGAATACTGACCCGAGCAGTGCGACGGACAAGACATTGTCGACATGGCACAAACTACTGACCATCGATGGACCCCGCTTCCTCGCAGCTTCAAGGCAGATGGAGAATGAGAAGGCCTCTCAGAGGATTCCTCCAACAAAGCAGAATCACAGCCCTACTCGTGGGCCAGAGCAACAGGGGTCCCCACGTACGTGCCGCACCAGCCCTCCGACGTGTGCGTCCACGCTCAGAATGCTCGCTGCTGACTTTTGGGGGAATTTCCCGGAACGTTGGCGGAGCTTTTCATTGATATGTCATGCAGGTCGGCATAAATGGCCATGTTGAGGCGTCCGATTCGAAGATTCAATGCTACGGACGGTAGTGAGCAAACGACGATTCGTGAGGTGGCCGGAAGCTCTGAGCTCTCAGAAGGGTCGCCTCGCGATCGAGCTGTTCATTTGTCTGACGGCTTTCAAGGAATTTGGGCGAGCAGCATGAGAAAGTCGTCGATGACTGGGGCAGGTCATAGAGGACGGAAAGCACTGATGGCAGTGTTCATGGACAACTTGGAGAGGCAGAAGGAGCATCAAACACTGACTGGCCGGCCGAAGGTCAGCACAGTCGATCTTTCCCCAGATTTTGTGGCCCATCGCCGTCACCAGGAGCAGCTGCCACCCGCCGCTCGAGCCAAGCACGACCCCCCCAATACCTCCAACGTCCGACGGAACACCGTCACCCGAAAGTCCTAGGGCCAATCATGGTCGCGAATTCCCATTGCTCAAGGGGTCCAGGAGGGCAGGAGGGCTTCCATGTCTCATGATGTCCCCCGCCTCGGCCCAACTGCTCGACCGACCCGGCACCTAACACGCCTCTGTCACGTACCTATGTGTGTGCGCTTGGGGCAAGCATGGCAGGGACAGGTGAAGAAAGAGTGAGGGGATGGAGGACAACAGAGGAGAGGGGCCCATCGGGGGGGCAGTTACGTTCGAAGCTTCTGACTTTGCGCGCGATGTCACGGCACGACAATCCCTCCGTCTCGATGCCCCGTTTTCATCATATCGACGTCCGACGATACCGAGTTCAGGGTCATTCTTCTCCTTCTTGAACCATCACGTTTCGATTGACCCCCGGATACCAACCATCACGACAGAGCAACACCAGCAACAGCCATCGATAACTCACACCCATCCGCCCCTCGCAGAAAGCAGCATCTCCCATCATGGTCTCGACACGCTCCACCACCATGTCCTCCCCGCCCTCCTCTCCCTCCAAGACGACGGCAACAAAACGCTCTGCCGCCCTCGTCGCGTCCGCCTGGTCGCACCGTCCCTCGAACTTGACCCTCGCCTGGCTCGCCGTCTCCCTGCCCCTCGTCGCCTGGGACACGGGCTACGTCATGCTGCGCCCACACTCGATGCCCGGCGGCGCCTGGCACGCGCCCCTCTGGACCCCCTACGAGCTCTACGGCCGCATCGACGGCGTCTACGGCCTGCAGGCCTACGAGGCCGGCGACGGCTTCACCGCCGCCCAGGCCTTCCTCAACATCATCGAGACGCTCATGTACCTCGCCTACCTGTGGCTGTGTCTGCGTCGCGGCGCCCCCTCGCCCGCCGAGGGTCCCGCCGGCCGCCGCGTCGTCACCGGCCGCGAGGGCGGCGCCGCCGTGCTCATTGGCTTCAGTGCGGCTGTCATGACCCTCAGCAAGACGGTTCTCTACTGGATGAAGGAGTATTACTCTGGCTTTGCCTATATCGGGCACAACACGGCGCTGGATCTTATTTTCCTGTGGATCATCCCAAAGTGAGTCTTCTTCTGGGCCCCCCTTCCTAAAGCTTGACGGCATAGAGGCTGACCTCTTGTCTGCAGTGGCGCGTGGCTTGTCGGCTCGTCGTACATGATTATGTCGCTCGGCGGCGAGATCCTTGATGGTCTGGCCCCGGAGACGAAGAGGGCGAAGAAGGAGTAGATGTACATCGTGGTGTGTCCTGTCAAAGCGCACACATGGTGCACATGTGGCTAGACAGGTGATATGGACCATTTGCGGATGCCACGTGCCCTATTTCCATGGCGGGAGCCAAATACATGGAGTATATTACTGCAACGTGATTGACATACTAGGAACGTCCATTTCCACATGTCATTTATAACATTGACGAGCATTTTACATTCGCGACGCCGTGCGCGAAATCAGAATTATGTCCACACTGTCATTGATTATGGTAAAAATACAACATGATGGTTCCCAAGCCTTCGTTCCCCGTCATTACCTGCATCCAAGCACTGCTCAGGGACACCGTCATCGTCCACCTAATGCTGCCCCGCAGCCCGACCAAGAAAGAATGGGGTATCGGGTATAATATCGGTCCAAAGCACAAAAGAAATTTTCAAATGATAGTCCAGAGATACGATTCGTGATCTCTCGTTTTCGTGAAAGGAAGGAAATCGGAGAATGGTCACTCCAGTGTGGAAAGGGGCCAAGTCAAATGAGTTGGCTTCCCTGTCACGCCCTCATGGAGACCGCCACAGGCGCCATGAGGCCGCCGAGGTCGTTGAACTGCTCCCACATGGGTCTCACGTCGCTCGCGCTCGCCGCCGAATCGTCGCCGACGTACGGCTGCCAGGCATTGGCGTCGCGCGGTAGGTGCGACGCCGATGCCGAGAACGGGCCAAGCAGGCTTTTGCGGATGCGCAGCGGCGCGGGCGAGAGGGCGGCGCGTTCGCGCTCTTCCTCGACGAGGGCTTCATAGTCGACCGCATAGTTTGACCCGAAAGTCTCGGGTGCCACGCTCACAGGCCGTCTCCGAGGCGGGATCGGGATCGCGGGAGCCGTCGGGATCATGAGAGACAGCACCTCTCGTCGACGGTCCCGGATCGGGATCGGACTGAGGATGGGGGGTGAGTTTTCATCGTTTGGCGCGGCCGCAGGAATTGCGAGTGCAGCCTTCGGGCTTGTCGGAGGGGCCGACGATGCTGCGGTGTCGACAGAGCCACCGTTGCTGTCGGCGGTCGACTCGATACTGCTCTTCGATGATGTCGACAGGGCTCTAGCTGCCGTGGAAACCTGGGGAATCATCAAGATTGGCGATGGTGTCTTGACCATGGCGTTCATGTTAACCGAGTTGGTACCGTTGCCATAGCCATGGACCACAATCTCGTGATACGATGACTTTCTGGGAGTCGGTTCTGTTGGTTCCGCCGGGCCGTGGAAGCCTTTGAAAATACTAATGGATCGCCGAAGAGTACTATTCCGCGAAATACTTTTGCCAATGCTCAGGGCACGAGGAGGCGTGCTCTTAACACGAGATATCATTGATCTTCTGTTCTCCTTTTTCTCTTCGTCGCGGTGAATGGTGAAGTAGTCGATGTCCGGCTCAATCTTGAACTCGGTCGGCGTCGCCATTGCACTCGGACTGCACATTGAAACTGCGGAAGATGAGATAGCACTGGTGCTGTTGGATTGGTAGCCGAGGACTCCATTTTCCTCGTTCCAAGAAGGGAGGTAATCCGGCGACACGGCCAGGTTGTAGTCCGCATCAATGTCGTTGACCTCATCGGGAACGTCGGTGCAGTTGCGGAGCACCTGGTAAATGGCGTATACCAGAATCCATCGCACCTTTCGCACGTCTACCAGGCTGATCTTTTCATTGCGGTCCACCTTGGTGAGAGGCGCCACGGACTGCTCCTCGAACTTGCGGTAGGCGCGCACGAGATCGTTCCGCAATATGTCGACTTTGCCGTGGTTCGAAGCCTTGACCTGGGCGGCATGCAGGACAAGTCGATTGTCGGGCTTGAGCTTATCACTGCGTGACAGCCACGGGATCCTCCGGCTGGTGGGCGTTGTCGGAACTTCAGGAAGCAGCGGCAGGGGGTGGTCGAGAGACTTGAAATCGTAGCGTGCATCGAAGGCGTGGACACTCTGAACCGCGCAGATGCCGCCTTGAGCAAGGAGCGGGATGCTTCCGGCTGAAGTAAAATCGTCGTTTACAAGCAGTTCGTATAGCGCCTCAAAATCGTCGCACATGATGCGATAGATCTCGGGCTCAAATGCTGAGCTCCGGCCATCGGCCGGCGTTGGCGGATAGTATCCGAGCTTGGTGCTGTAAAAAGAGAGAAGGAAAGAGCGGAATCGCTCCATGTGAGCTCGACCTCCAGCAGGGAGGCCTAGATGAGTTTCAGAAAGCTCGTCTTCGAGAAAGGTACGCAGCATCGAGCTGGCTTTGTTGAGTCTGGCGTCCATGTCGGCTTTTGCGCGTCGTATAGATCGTCTTGTTGGTGAACTGACAAGCTGTGGGGGGGTCAGTATTTGACTTGCAATACACGCCGAGTGCTCAGGGTCGAACATACCTGCCACTCTGGGGTTGAGGGCAAACGGTCACTCATTCCAACGCAGTGGCAGAACGCATCAGTGAAAATGTCTCTGATCTGAAATGTCTCAGCCATTCTCAGCAGGGCGAGTGCGTGGATGGGCTGGTTGCGTATGTCAAGATATCCTTCTTCGTCCAGATAATCCAATAGGTCACCGACATGATCCTCATCATCGTTTCTGAATTCAGACATGCTGCTCAACAGGTTGATTAGGGCGGTGCCCAAGTGATCCCCGACAACCGAACGATTGAAAACCCAAGCGAATAGGTTGCGGGTTGCCAAATGGTAGAGGAATGCGTCCTGCTTGTTGGCTGCAGGCGGCGCTGGAATGTAGAGATCGACTTTGCGGGTAGGGTTCAGATAATGCCATTGATCAAGGTCATCGTACGGGTCGAAGAGAGATCCGGGCGACTCAGGCATGTCGCGCGCGATGAATCTTTGGATCAACGGGTGACATTTGGCCGACAGCAAGCCACCAAACGGCACCTTGAATGCTGGGCCGCGTCGAGACTGGCCCTTTCCATAGAGGTGAACGAAGCAATTCCCACCTCGAAACCACAGTTCGGGATCCTATTATTGGTTTGATCAGTTTTTTGACATTTCGCAACTGCGTGGTTGATTCTGGAAGCATGGTTCACTTACACGACGGAGGCTGTCCCAATCGGCGCATGCCCGTGCAGCGCCGTCCCACCGCTTGACGTTGCTGTTTCCAGGCAGACGTTCATCCATGACATCCCCAGTTCTCGTTGTTCGATATGTGCGGTTGGCCATGCAATATGGAGGTAACGAAAATCGATACTCAGGAGGAGGATCCATCTCGACAAGAGTCGCTCCGCTTGGTGCAGGAGCTGCTGGCTCTATAATGGAATCAACCACCTAGCTTGGGGAGCGGCCGACTGGGTGCCAGGGTGAGCTGGAAAGGTGTGGGTGGTAAGCTGAGGCGTAGCCCAGATTCCACGGGCAAGGAGTGGTCCGAAAGCGCCCAGCCCGAATGTCTGCTTGTGTTGATCGCCGAAAGCCAATGACGATGTGCGTGAGTATGCAAGGCCCCTGTGGAGATCTGCGTAAATATTGCGTGCGGCTGTGTTTCGTAGTGATCAAGTCGATACGGCGTTCGTGTACATGGCTGGCTGCAGGATAACTTGGGGACGCTGTATCGGCATTTCCAGTATGCCAGATTTTAGTTCTAAGCGTCTCCTTTCAGTCACGGCAAAGTATTCACATGGCGACGCGAGCAAGGGGCAGAGGGTCGATTATATGCCATGACTATTGAGATCATCCTGACCACAAGTGTTAGATAGCTGCAGGCCATGTGAGACTAGCAACATCCGTTTGTCTAGGCTGAGGAGCAGACGCGAGGGAACGTGCTGCGATGGCGTCAAGCCAAGTGCAGCCCGAGCCAGAGCGGTATCGACTAGTGGTTGTTGGCCCCTGCGAGCGCGAGCATCTTTGCAGTTGGTCGCCCAGTTGGCTGGGTAGTCACCAGCTGGAAGCTAGGCGTTGCCGCAACCGTGCGTTTGCTGCTTTTGCTGCAGCTGGTTTACTGCTGTTGCACTCGCAGACCGCAAACGGTCTCAGTTGCTAAACACCTTGACCAGCTCCGATATGCGGGAGAGCTGCATTGTTCCCAGGCTGAGTTTGAAGCCACAGGAGAGCGGTGTGTGTCTGTCTTGTTCACCAGTGTCAGACCATGGTGATCAAGGACTGCTGAGTGCTCAGTAATGCTCATACCGTGGGACGAGATTGGTTGATGTCATTCAAATCATGCTGGTGACCTTTCACTTTGGAGCCTACAGGTCCCGAATATTAGAGATCGCCAAAGCTAGGCATCGGAACCGAGCTGGCAGCGAAGCGATCTCAGGCCAGGGTCCAGATCTCATTCGCCGGAGGGCATGACAAGGTTGGCCGAAGCGAATCCAGGGTGCAAGATCAACACTTGGAGCAGCTTGTTAGCGCCGTCGGATGTCGACGTTCCAGCTGTCTTGGCAGCTGGGCAGATAGATTGGGGGAAGAACCCCACTGGAGCTTGACCATGATGAGCAGTACATGCTGAAGGCCACTTTTGGAACCAGACACGCCAGTACATCATTCCTCTTGTATTGTCCCAGCGGCGGAGCATTCTTGCGAGGCCATCTCAAGCCATGGAAATAAGACGTCATCGCCGAGTTTGCTATCAACCTTCAGTGAATGTGCCTCATCTTGGCAAGTATCCCTGTAGACGTTGTGAATAGTTCTCCGGGTCTGAGAGTTCCCGCATGCCCACTGGTCGACGGACGCCAGCACTCCCGGACTCGACCGCCGTCTTGTGTTACGCCTCGCGCGACGAAGCAGCATAAGATGTAGATGAGCAATCCAAAGTGTGAGTGCGTGAACGTGGCAAGCATCCGCCGCCAGAAAAGGGGCAATTAGGGGCCAGGCTGGGCCCTCAAGACACGCGCTGAGACTCGCAAAATTACTCTGGCTCAGGGCATCAACGTGGCAATAGCCCCAGAGGCAGACAGGCCAGACCATTTGGCCCAGCGGACAGCAGGGGTTGTGGAGGAAGCGATGTCCGACACACTGATGCAAGCCCAAGAGCTGAACCAGTAGCGGGTGAGCGGGATGGTGTGTTGTTGATCCAGCTTTGGCGTCACGAAGCTTGGGATACAGGCGCACATAAGCGTGAGATTGCCGACATCAAAACCACATGGTAAAAAGGCATCGAGGGGGCCATTGACCCCGCGGGGCCAGAGTTTATGATGCATCTAGACTGGCGGGAAGGCCTTGACGCTAGACTGCTTTGACCTGCAAGAAACCTCAGCTCGCGGCCTAGACGCTGTGGTGTGATAAGTTTCGCTGGACCACCACACGAGCAACGGGTGACCAAGCGAGGTCGGGATCGAGAGTCTGAGGTGGACCGCAGCGAAGGCTGGCTGAGCTGGCCGATGGATGAACCAGTCAGTCGCACAAGAAAAGGCATCTCAACCAGGGGAGCCTAGACGACATGGGGATGGGCCAGTCGAGACACGATGCAGCTCGTCGATAGTTCCATCATGGTCTGAGGCTTGTGTTGAACAGCCCTGGGTACTCCGTCCCTGCATTCACAAGGGCATCCACTGCCACGGCCGATGAATCCCAGAATTTCGGGTCATGCCATCTAACGGGGCTTGATTGAAGAGTCAAATTGCCGACGAAGCATCTTGTTGATAGCAGGTACGGTGGTTTGGATCTACTAGTTCAATAGAGCGGGGAAGGAAGCCCTGGATTATTGAGGGTCTGAGCTGATGTGTTGGATAAGGAGGTTCTCTATCTTATCTATGTCCGATAAGTCCCACAGTTCTTGGTGATGCTGTGCAGCGGGCGCGGTGAACGCGCTCTGATAGCTTCCAGCTCGAAATCTGATGCTAGAATGCAACATTGGTGGCTGGAGGCCTTCACACTTGCCGCGCTTGGCCATTTCTGACTACTTGCCTACATCATGGCACCATTGACACCATATAGCTATATCCAATGCCCATGCTCCGATTCTAGCCCGGCAGCCGACAGCTCGGCAGCCAAAGGAGAGCCCGACGATGATCGAACTTTTGACCCAAGAGCTCCCCGCGCGAACTACAGTCTCTACCCCCTTGAGTATCTTAACTACTGCGAAGACTGCCATCAAATACGATGCCCCAGATGTGTCAACGAAGAGATAGTCACATATTACTGCCCTAATTGCCTCTTCGAGGTACCCAGCAGCAACCTCAAGAGTGAGGGTAATAGGTACGTTCGAGACGCTGCTCAAGTGTGGCAGACTCTGAGGAGTGAACTGATTGTTCCCCAGATGCACAAGAAGCTGCTTCCAGTGTCCATGTTGCATTGGGCCTCTTGCTGTGACGAGCCTAGAAACACCCCCCGATCGAAGTCTTCTCGCTGCTGAAGGTGCCGCCCCTCCAGCCGGACCATACATTCTCAGTTGCTCCTACTGCCAATGGAGCTCTGCCGAGATTGGGATCAAGTTCGATAAGCCGAATGGAATATACCAACAGCTCGCCAAGATCAACAACGGAGGACAGGCACGTCTGACCGCCAAAGAGTACAAGGAACGCAGGAAAGACAAGGAGGCGTGGGCTGAAACACCGCTGAAGAGCGAGGATGTTGACCATGAGCTTCACTTCGCGCAACTCAAGACCTTTTACCAAACCCAACTGGCGAATTCGAATCCCCAGGCGGCGGGCCTGTCGTCCTTCAGTGACCTGGGCATTGCGTCTCCAGGGTCTCTCTCACGCATCATGAGCATCTATACGGGCACACACACCAGCCACAAACAGTCGCGGAGCAAGATACCCATCATGCGCGAGGCGCTTGACCTGGATGATGGTCTGAAGGTTGCCAACCTGGACGATTCAGCCCGTATCGCGCAGCTGCGCGAGTCCACGGTCGACGACACGGTCACAGCCGAGCAAAACGCATCCCAGCCCACACCCGTCCGCTTCGCCTCCGAGCTCCGCCCGATTCCCTACCTTCTACGCACGAAGCGATCCAAGCGCTGTCCGCTCTGTCGACACATTATCAGCAAGCCCGAGGCCAAGATCTCCAACACGCGCTTCCGTATCCGCCTCGTCGCGGGGAGTTACATCCCCACCATTTCCATACGGCCGCTTCACTCCGAAGCTGGTAACATTCCCTCAGCGATGCGGCCTCCTGTGCCTCAGGAGCTCTGGCTCGCGCCCCTCAAGCCGGCGCAGTACCTTCTCACGTTCAAGAATCCCATTTTTGAGGCGGTCAAGGTGACCCTCGCGACACCGGCGAAAACGCCGGGACGATTCCCCAGCACTGTGACGGTGCTGTGCCCTCAGTTCGAGATTGACGCCAACACCGACATGTGGGACGACGCGCTCAAAGGCGAGGAAAGGCGGCGCAGGGGCGAGGAGGGGGCTGCAGGGCAGCAGCAGCCCGAGCCGGGCAAGATCTGGGAAAGGGGGCGGAACTGGGTAAGCGTGGTTGTGGAGGTCGTGCCGGCCTCGTTGAGGCTGGATCTCGTGACGGCGGGTCCAGACGGCGGAGAGCCCGACAGGAACCCACTGAAGGAGGACGAGGATGTGCTGGAGATACCCATGTTTGTGCGGATTGAGTGGGAGGCTGAGGCGCAGAACGAGGTGGGCGCAGCGCCCGGCAAGGAGAAAGAGGCCAAGGAGAAGCGCGAGTTGGCATATTGGTGCGTACTCGGGGTGGGAAGGATAAGCCAGACATAGCTCGAGTGTTTGTGCTCTTATGATAAACACACAAATGACAACGATACCCCCATCATATCACAGTTATGTTGCCGCATTCGTCAGAATTAAAAGGAAGAAATCATTACGTTCGTCAATGCATGTTTGGCAGCCTGCTCTGAATTTTCATGCTACACTCTAGACGCCGAGCCCATTTTTGACCAACCAGTCGTTGTGCGTGACCATACGCTGCTGCTGCTCACGCACGCGCACGCGCGAGGGCAGGCCGGGAATCATCTACCTCTTCCAGTCGTAAAAGTCTGACGACGTCAAGATGAAAGGAAAACTCCCGAATGCCAATCCATGAAGACCCAACTACGCCGCCGGTACCAACATGTCGCAATCAGATCTCCCGATCCGAGGGCGACACGTTTAGTAGTCGGTGGAGCCGGACTGGGGGAACTCGAAGTTGACACCACGGCCGGTGAGCTTGCGGTAGACCTCGGCGTAGGTGTCGAGGCGGTAGTCAACACCGCCACGCTCCTTCTCGTCAAGGACAACCTTGAGGAGCTTGTTGCCGTCCTCCTTGGTGCGGAGACGCTTGCCGACGATCTCGACGGGGTAGACGAGGTCGGACAGGATAGCGTCGTGGACAGCGGTGAGGGTACGGCTGTGGGGGCGCTTCTGCTTCTGGGTGTTGCGGGAGCGGCTGGAGCGCTTGGGGCGGGGGAGGATGCGGCGCGAGGCGAGGAAGAGGACGTGGCGGTCGGAGAACTTCTTCTCGAGCTCACGGGTGAGGCTACACTACATCAGCACGTGTTGCACAGGTTGAGGAGAACTGGGTTGGGGTAACATACCGCTGCTGGACGCGGTGGAAGCCCTGCAGGGAAGGGACGGGGACAAAGATGACAATAGCCTTCTTGCCGTGGCCAACCTCGATCTAAACAAGACCAGAAATCAGCATGCGAGCTCCAGGACGAAACCTTGGACCGCTTCCCGTCCTGTTCCACTATAGAGTAGTATCTTGTGTGGGCAGGATATCTTCTCTTTCTTATACACTCCAACCATCCAGCGCAAGACTTTTCCGGTCCGTCGCCTACTGAGCGCCCCCGATCGATGCTCTGCCCTTTTGAGGGGTGAGGTAGCCAAGACGAATGGCCACCATCGTACTCAGGGTATGTTCGCATAAGGCGGGGGTTTTGATTGCTGGCAGATGGCAATTGGAACCGGGTTCGTCGCGCGTGGAGGCAGTTTGTCGGTAGTGTGGGAACAGGATTCGTGTTGCGATCCATAGAGGGAGAGAGTATCTGTTTTTTCAAGTCGTTCTTACCTCACGGGCGGAGACGAACTGCAGAGGGCGCAGAGCGACCTTGAGATCGGCGGTGTTCGTCTCGAGGTCGTACAGAGCCTGAGCAATGTTCTGCTCAAGCTCCGAGGGGGAGGCCCTCGAGGGGCTGTTGGGGGCGATCTTGTTCTGGGCGGACATCTTGACTGGCAGCTGGCTGGGCGTTGGGTGCTGGTTGATCGGAATGAAGTTCTCACGAAAGAATCGACAGAAACTTTTCGGTGGTGGTCGGATCGGGGCCAGGTGCTGCAGCGAGTGGAGGGACGGGGTTTCGCTAAGATTGGGGCTCTAAGCCCTGACCATTGTGTGTGGAGAGTGGTCTGTGCGGGATGCTGATTGCACTGACCGATATCAGTGGACCGGGGTCGGTGACTTCGGTGAACCGTCCATCTCGGTGTAATCCCATCACCATACCCCACCTTCTCGGGGATCAAAATAATACTGTGTTCAAGTCGGCAGCAACGATATAGAGTTACAGCCAGAAAATAGAGTATTGGTTGATCCTGACCATACTGGAGCTCGGGTTTTATTTCAATGCTGCTTCATAGAGCCCAGGTGTTTGTCGATTGTTTGAAGCACTTTGCTTGTCTGTCCTCATGACATCATGCACGTTTGTAACATCGTGGAACACTCACTTGTCGAATCAACTCACGTCTCTCTTACCTTCCACCAGGCATTTACCAGACTTTGCCAAACTGAAATGCAATAAGGAAAAATCACTCAACATTAGAATACCGGTCGCAACGACCTTCGCTCAAGATGCAGCTCAACAATGTCGTTATCCCATTCGAGCATGATAACGCAGCTTGGGACATCACAGTTATTGATGGCGTTGTCGAGTCCAAGATTCCTGCGGCAGACGCGTCGGGGCCATCAAGTCTCCTGCTGCCTACACTCTGTCACCCTCACATCCACCTGGACAAGGCATATTTGCTGACGTGCAACCGCGTCGCGTCCTCTGACCACCCTGGCTACTCCGACCTAGCCCCAACGTCTGGCACGTTTGAGGAGGCCCTTACCAATACATCCAAAGCCAAATCTCGCTACACCGAAGCAGACCTCTACCTCCGCGGTTCTCAGCTCCTAGCGACAAGTTACAAGCAGGGGATCACGTCCCTCCGGGCATTCGTCGAAGTCGACCACGTCACTGGTGTCGCACCTCTTGTCACAGCAGTCCGCCTGAAGAAGGATTTCCGCCATCTCATCAACGTCCAGATATGCATATTCGCTCAAGACCCTTTATTTTCCACTGCACACGGAACGAAAAATCGTGAAGCATTGGAAGTTGCTCTTGAGGAGTACATTGACTCGATTGACGCCCTCGGCACGACGCCTTACGTCGAGGACAACGATGATGCCAGCGGTCGAAACATTGCGTGGGCAGTGGCGACAGCGCTCCAACGTGACCTGCATCTCGACTTTCATATTGAGTACAATCTTGGCCAACCAGGCTCAGTGGACATCGGCCACATTCAGACCGCCATTGAATGCCTCGAGGGATATGCGTGGGCCACGAAAGCAAATTGCAAGACCGTGGTTCTCGGCCACGCCACCAGGCTCACCGAGGTACCGCGGGAGAGACTCCAGCAGCTCGCCGACAGGATTCACACGTCCAAGTTGCCAGTCTACTTTGTCGGGCTGCCATCGAGTGATCTGTACATGATGGGACGTCCTGCGGGTAACGATGACGCCAGTCAGGACTTTCATCACCGTCGGCCCCGGGGAACGCTCAACGTCCCATCACTTATCAAAGACTACCAAATCAACGCCTGCCTCTCGGTGAACAATGTTGGCAACGCCTTCACGCCGTATGGTACTGGAGATCCTCTAGCCCTGGCGTCACTTGGCGTGGGCCTGTATCACGCTGGGTCAGTGGACGATGCTCGACTGCTCTACGAGTGTATCAGCACGAGGGCCGAGGCAGCAGTCGGTATGCACCGGCATCAGACAGACGAAGGGAATCGGGCCGGAACAGTGGAACAAGGTAAAGACTGGCGCCCATTGTTACTCATAGCACCCGAAGCCGATCTCGAACTACCCTCCTCGTCAACGACGAACGGTGCAACAAAATCTATGACGATTCCATCCAGGCACCGGCTCGGCATCAAAGATGTCGTCTGGGACCCGCCCGAAACGACAATGCGCAGCATCATCTGATAATGATAAAACGATTGGAAACGCCCGCTTGATTTGACAATCGCTTGTTTTACATGCCATCTTTTGTCCCATACCTTCACAACATCAAAATCATTGCCAGAATTACACCGAGCTCGCTGGTTTCGGGCCCTCAGCCGTCGGGCTGGCAATGGTAAAGTTTACAACCGGCCGCCTCAGCGAGCGGATCCTCTTGAGAGGGTTCAGCTTCGTGGCGTCGAAATTGAAAGCAGGCTTCGGAGGCGCAATCTCGGCCCCGCCTGCCGACCAGGTAAAGTCGTCGTCGGCAGCCATGCTCTTCTTTGTATCCTTGGACTCGAGATCCGCGCTGCTGATGCCGTTCCACCCGCCGTTCTGCCTCCTTGCGGCGCGGCGCTTCCGTATGCGCACTGTCACAAAGACGGCGGCGACCATCAATGCCAAACAGATGAAGGAGACCGGCAGGATGACGAAGGAGAGCTGGAAGGACGACTTTTGCTTGGGCGGCGTAATGCTCAGCTTGGGGCCGGAGATGCGGTTGCGGGCTGAGGTGCCGTTCTCATAGACGAGGTAGAGCTGGACGTCCATCTGCTTCCAGCTCTTGGGGTCCGTCTCGCTGATGGTCCAGGCATAGAAGCCCTCGGAGGCGACGATGGGCCCGGAGGAGAAGGCCTGGTCCTCGATGACGCCGTCGTGGTTAGTCAGGGCGCCCTCGACAACGACGCCGCGGCCAGGATCTTCAAAGTGCTCTGCATCCCAGGTGACTGCAGCACGTTAGGGACTCATTGCCTGAATGCCAGAAGAGGAGATGCTGCTGCTCACTGAAGTATGTGCTCCCTGCGGCCACCTCCTTATCCTTTTCCGAGGCACAAAAGGGGAAATACAATCCACCTGACCCCGAAGCTTCGTCGCAGACGAGGAAAGCCCCGGAGCCGTCGCTGAAGGCGGTGGGGAGAGCTGTTGGGCCATTGTAGGCCGAGATTGTGTCGTCGCCATCGATTGTAGGCGTGACCGTACGAGTCGCGCCATCGGGGGCCATCGTGACCCAGGGATGAAGGGCATTGTTGGTCTGCGAGGCAGTCTGGCTTGACGTGGTCGTGGCAGACTGAACTAGGTTGGCACATATGACGATGGCCCAGACCAAGCTGGGAAACCGTGGCCAGCTCATGATGGATGAACACTATGAAAGACAAGATTAAATATCAAGATTAAGAAGGACCCAAGACCGGAAAACACTGCATACCTTTCGCCGAATGCCACATCTCACAGATGAAGTTGGGCTTCTCGCTCCCTTTTGTATCGCATGACTGCCACCACTACCGCCATCACCACAGACCACGGGAGAAACCGACCATCTCAACCATCTTACCGAAAGGCCATCCATCTCGATCTAGATTCCCCGAAGTCCCCTTCAAAGCCAAAGTCACGCCAGGGATATTCCTTTCCGCGCTCGACCCGCAACCCGCCCGCCAACCTTCTCGCCCCACGAAACGAACCACCCGAATGCAGGCAAAAACTCTCCTCATCAAGTGTCCGGGACAATGAGCAGAAAAGAAAAAGGGTCACAGCACACCCCAATCTGGCTACCTTTCAAGCGCCCATTGTGCAACGCACCTTGTGTCTCTAACAGCCCAATGCGGCATAGCAATGCGACAGCGCGCCACATCCGACGAACCCGTTTGACGGCGCCGCGACGCCCCCTGCTCTCTCTCGTCTGTGCTCGTCACTACGGGGGCTGTTTCGAATGGGGAAACTTTATTTTCCCTCAACGTCACCTCCAACTTGATCTCTTCTGCTCTCCGCCGCTGAATCGCATCTCGGAGACGGAGAGTGAAGAAGAGGGAGGAGGTGGGGGCTTCGACGGTGACAGCACCTCTCGGACCGCAGCACTGGAAAAGTCGTCTGATGGCGGGCCCCGAAACGGAAACCAGTGGGCTCTGTCGCCCACCACCGGGCAAATGACGAACACACATCAAACAGGAGAAGGAGGTGGGTGAAGTAGTCTTTTCCTGCGAGTCGTCTTTTGAGACGTCATGTTGATCGACTTGAGGGATCGCGGAGCCATTTTCCCACCATGACTGGCCGGACGGCCCGGTCGATCGTTGCTCCGGTCACGACAGCTTGATAGCCTTGCCGCTTCATGGGGCTGGGATCATCGTGCCACGGAGCGATTGCGGCAAATCCGCGCGAGGGCAGGTGCTTCGATATGAGTCTGGCTCTGGTGCTTCATCCCTGCTTCACTCTGGCGGTTCGCACGACTCGCTGTGCAAGTTTGGCCTTGTCATGGAGGCTACGAAGCTTTGCGGATGGGGCGATCCGGCGCTTTGACGGGGTATGGGCACGACATTGCAACGAACAGCTGTCTTTCTGAAAGTTTTTGTGTTCCCGCTTGCATTGATGTGGGTATGCGGAAGACATAGCTCCAGAGGTTACCTCACGGATGAACTACAGGTGTGAGCTCCTGTGGCATGGTGGTATATGTCACCAAACCCAGTCCTTAATACTTGCTTGGCATGAGGTACACGGCGCGCATGCTTCCAAATATTGAGTACATGTACATCATTCCGCTCTTCGATTTCTATTGCTCAAGTCACGAAACCACGACATCAGAGCTGGGTCAATAGCCACTTGACACCTTTCCAGTTCTCCTGGGCTGTTGCCAGGATCTTCTCCGCTGGCAGCACGAAGCCACCGGCAGCCTCGTTCGCCGGACTGAGCTCCCAACCCCAGGCAATGTCGGCGCCAGCAATGTCATAGACGTAGTCCATCGAGCCGCCGCTCGCGGCATACAAGACGTCGCACACGGGACCGTACCTGTACTTGCTGCCGGCGACGCTCTCAATGATGGCGGTGGTCTGGCGGGCCAGCTCCATCTGGCGGTCATAGTTGGCAACGCGCAGCGAGCAGTTGCCGCCGTAGGGCATGAGGATGATGTGGCCAAACGCGTGCCAGTCGACGAAGAACTTGATGCCGTCGGGGTGTGCCGACGCGACCTTGTCCGTGTAGGCCGTGAAGGACGCCATCTCGGGCGTGTCGCCGGGACTTAGACCACGGTAGGACTGCGCGCATGGGTCGTCGCTGGCGCCGCCGGTGACGTTCCAGTAGTGCGGCCAGTTGCGGTTGAGGTCGGTGCCGATGCAGGCTTGGTTGCAGCGCGGCTGTCTGTTCTTGCGCCAAAGGCGGTCGGTCGTCTGCGAGTGGATGAAGCCATCTGGGTTGACGACGGGGAGGACGTAGAAGTCGTAGGCGTTGAGGAGGGCGGTGACCTCGGCGTCCGAGGCGAGGTAGCCGGAGATGAGCTGGTAGAGGAAGTACTCGACCGTCATGGTGGTGATCCACTCGCGGGCGTGCGTCGTGGAGTGCCAGTACTGTAGGGGATTTCGGTCAGTCGTGTCTTTCATCCATGCCCGAAGGGGAGACCTTACAATCGCAGGCTTCGAGCTCTTACCGCCCTTGCCCCACAGGTGAATACCGTGAATGTCGCGCCCCTCATACGACTTGCCGGCGACGACGAGTTCAGAGTTGTCGGGGAAGGCGTAGTGCAGGTCTTCGATGTAGTCGACATGGTCGGCGTACGCGTGATACGCATTGAACCACTCGATGCCAGGGAGATCAGCAGAAAGCGCCTCGGAGGAGGCCCTCGAGAGCTTCCTGCTGGCATAAGGCTGTAGGTCACCCTCAAGAAGGATATCGGCGCCGAGATCCTCGTGGACCACAACATGCTTCAGGCCGAGAGCCTCAAAGTCCTTGACCGACTCGGGAGCCACGGCGACGCTGTAACTGTCAGGCGAACCCTCGTCGACGTCGATGAAGTCGATGTTGGCGATTTTCTCCATAATGGCGTCGACGCCCTCCGGTGCTTCAATCTCAAAGACCTTAAAGCCATCGTAGAGGACCCTGGCCTCACGAGGGGCAAGACGCCGAGCCGATGCCAGGGGCACGGCAGCGGCAGCGAGGCAGGCGACGAACTTCATGGCTAACGTGAGATGTGCCGTAGGAGTGACGGGAACAAGAGAGGGCTCGAAAGACAGGCGGGCATCACCTCCTCACCTGCCTCTGCGGCAGGCAGTTGTTCTTTAAGAGCAGAAGATCCCTGCATGGATTGGACAAATGGCGGCCATGTCGGTCCTTCATGCTGTGCCAGATCCCAGCAAGTGAGGTGCCTTGCCCTGAACCCCGCGTTGAAGTTCTCCCGCGAGGGGACGGGTGGCAGCTGTCCTCGCCTTCTGATTCACCAATGCTGCTGATCCATGACGTTTCTCTCGAAGATGGAGAGGCTTGGCGGTTGATAGAAAGAGGCAGGTGCCGTTACACTCGACGCAAGCGCATGTAGGTTCGACCGAACCTTGGCTGTGCCCCATCGTCGCTGACACACTGTCGATTAGAGGGGCTATGAATCCTTGAACAAGGTACTAACGGCACAGTAAAGTGCCAATGGGCCCGACGTGGCCGGCATAGAAGAGCGGGAGAAGAGGTGAGATGGCTGAGAAGCGCAGCGGGGGTGGAGCCTGAATGGATGTGAGAGGACATGGTCGGAGCTGGTTGGCCGCTTGGTGTTGCCGACATCTACGACCTTCCTAATGGGTGATACGGCAGACTGGCGCGCCACCAGCTTGATATTGCCAGTTCATGAGATCCGCAAAGAAGTCGATCAATCGCGAAAGGTATATATGATCTCCGAGTCAGTAGCAGCTGCATTCAATTTGAGTCTTCGGGTGGCCACTCGGCAACTGTTGAGCACCTGGGCCGTCATCCCATTGTCTGCTGTTTCGTAGCATGCCTGGATCTGGCCACTGCGTTGGTGGTCAGCTCTCTAGATCCTTTTCCCGTCGATTCATGCATGGTTGGGCGATATGACTTGCAACTTTGTCGTACAGCGTCAAGCTCATTTCGCTTTCCTGTGGCATCTGGCAAGAAAACGTGTCGCGTCCTGCGACTTTGACCTCCACTGTCTCACTGAGTCCCAGCCCTCCTGAATTCTCACGAAGCGTTGCGTACGGTATGGGACGGGAGCTAGAGCGGAAAAGACGATGCTGGTCATGCCCACTCGTTTTTGGTGCTGCATTTCTTGTTCAAAATACCAGACGACTCCTAGAGTTATGATCCTCAAGGGCAAGTCCTTGCTGCCAGCAATGCTCCGCGCTTGAACTCGTATGCCGGCAGATTGTTTCCGACCATCGCGTCAGCACGCCATTGCAAGGGCCCGCCACTGACTGCCGGGAGTCTGGTCGTGAACCGGCTCGTTGGGACAGCAGGCCGTTCGGCGGGAGAGCACGTCACCCATCCCCCATGTGGTCTGCCTGGGAGTCGTCAAGGAGCCTGCCATTGATAGAGGCATCTCGCATCGATCCTGGACACTCGAGTCGTCCGATGGCTTGAAGGTCTCTCCAAGTCGAGGCACCTTTGACAATGCGCAATCTTTTGCTCGTTCGGGTGAACCTGCTGCCAAGCAATATCAGGCCGCCGACTACTCGATTATGATGAAGCTTCCCCCCAAGTCAACGGCTGAGGAGTAAACAGAGCAGGGCCAAGTCACGTGTCGCCTGCCGAATCACAGCAAGACGCGCTAAAGCCAGCGTTAGGAACTGTGCCTCAGAGCTTTCGGGGGCAGCCAGGCCTTTGAGCCACTGGCGGATCTCCCCGGCTCTGCCCTACGGGCGGGGACGATGGGCACACCCACACCCTGGGCTGGGCCAGCCGCAATCCCTATGCCACGACTCCATAGACATCATCGGTCCGCGGCATCATTCTCCATCCCTCCTCATCAGTGTCGGTTCGACTTTTTGGTAGAGGGCCGATACGCCGACGGATGCTTCCCCGTCAGCATTGGCGCAAGCGCGTCTGATGGACGTCCGAGACCCCAATTGGCACCAGACATGACTTGGAACCCCGTCCCAGCGCGGCTCTGCGGCAAACAAGGCGGCTTCTTCGCTTGGCGGTGGAGGACGCTGACGCGTCAGGCCTGGGCTCCAGCTTGGTTGACCCCAAGGGCAAAAAAGAGACTGACAGGAGGCAAGTTACACACACTTTGGTCATACGTCACATCATCTTGATGAAGCCATCGCACTCTGAGCCTTACCTGTCTCTTCCCAGCTTTGCCGTTGCTTGCTGTCGGGGCTCACACTTCGACATTGACTGAGATAGACATTCTTCAGGACCCTGAGCACGCGACATCTCATCGCCGTTTCAACTGTTTCTGCCATCGTCTGTTCGCCCGCCGAGGCCACCAGGCTTAGGACTCTCACTCTCAGCCCTTCCCAGCCTTGCTGTTGAGGCTCGGGGGCAAGCAGGGATTCTCGCCTTATTTCTCATCCCTCCATCTACTCTTCTTCAACTCTCACCCCGTCCTGGCAACCATGTCAGGCATGCTCAAGCCGCCCCCCATGATACGGGCGCCATCTGGCGAGTATCATGAGACGTACAATGACAAGTATGTTGTCAAATACAACTTCAGCGAGATCGGTATGCAACATCACGCGTCTCCGACACGCGCTCCTAGGAAGCTGACATGACCTAGACCAGGAAACGGCCTCCAGGGAGCTGACTGAGCTTCTCGCTGATCTTGAAGAGACTGGCCTTCAGACAGAAGTGCGAGCGGGCTATGATCAGACCCTCTTGGTGTTTGTCAAGGCGCCTCGTGAGCTCCTTGGAAACACCGTCTATAAGTCGAGGTGAGCCGTCCGTCTCGACGTCTGGCTGCGCATAGAACTAACCCCTCACAGAGTCAAGGATTGGCTGTACGGCATTGTTGCCCACCATCCTGGAGGCACCAAAAATACTGTCGTTGATGCAGAGTATGAGGCCGAAGATGTTCTCTCCATGTATCACCTTGTCAATTGGAGCAAGGACCTCGGCGGCGCCGGCATCACGCCTGGTCTGGGAAAATGGGAGAACGTCGAGGCCGTCTTCCCGCTGCACAATGAAAAGATCAACCAGTCATTGCTGAAGCACCTGAGCAAGCGCATTTTCTTGACCCACGACGATCTCGACATGGTGCGAGACCTTTGGGGATCCAAGGTGGCCTTTTACTTTGCCTTCATCCAGACGTACCTCGTCTTTCTCAGCTTCCCCGCCGTCACCGGCGTCTTTGCTTGGCGCTTCCTGTCCAACTACTCACTTTTTTACGCCATCATGACTTGTGTTTGGTGTACTGTCTTTCTCGAATACTGGAAAATTCAGGAGGCTGACCTGGGCATCCGGTGGAACGTCAAAGGCATTGGCCACGTCAAGGTCAATCGCCCACAGTTCAAGTACGACAAGGTCATCACAGATGAAGGGGGACGAACGCGGCATTACTTCCCCAAGAGGAAGCAGGTCATGCGACAGTTGCTCCAGATCCCCTTTGTTGCGCTCGCCACGCTGGCCCTGGGGTTTATCATCGTGTGTGTCTTCGCCATTGAGGTTCTCATCTCCGAGACGTACGAAGGCCCGTACAAGTACTACCTCGAATACTTCCCCACCGTCTTGCTGGCAGTGGCACTTCCCTACATCACGTCTTCCCTCGAGGACATGGCAAATACGCTTACGGAGTTCGAGAACCACCGGACGGCTGATCATCACGAGATGTCCCTGACACAAAAGATCTTTGTCCTCAATATTGTCACCAATTACCTTCCCATTCTCCTGACGGCATTCGTCTATGTGCCCTTCGGAGACGATGTGATTCCATACCTCGAGACGGCTACGACAAAGCTGTTGGGAAGCGTCGGCCAGCGTTTCCACAACACAACCTTCCACGCTGATTCTGATCGCCTACGAAACGAGGTCATTGCTCTCGTTGTCACCGGACAGATATCCGGTTTCTTCGAAGAGAATGTCTTACCCCTCGTCAAGCACAGATTCGGCGGCTGGTGGCGCGAGATCCGACGTCTGCGATCCAAGGACTCGATGCTCATGTCCGTCGTTCGCGATGACCCTGAGGAGGCTGAGTTCCTCAAGCGCGTCCGCAATCAATCGACACTTCCGAAATACGATGTGCAGGAAGACATTGCCGAGATCGTCCTACAGTTCGGCTACCTCACCCTCTTCTCGCCCGTCTGGCCCCTCATCCCAATGGGCTTCCTCATCAACAACTGGATCGAGCTACGCTCCGACTTTCTCAAGATTTGCATCGAGCACCAGCGTCCCCACCCCATCAGGACGGACGGCATTGGGCCATGGATTTATTCGCTCGACCTTCTCACCTGGCTCGGCAGCATTTCGACCGCTGCCATTGTCCACCTCTTTGGCTCGAGCCACCTCGGAAGCGGTGGCTGGTGTGCTTTGCCCGTCACTATTTTTATCAGTGAACACATCTTCCTCGTGTTCCGCTCGCTCGTGTGCTTCGTTCTGCAGCGCCTTGGCTCGAAACAGATCCGCAAGGAGCGCAACGAGAGGTACGCCACGCGACTGAAGCGCCTCGAGGAGCTCGAGGCCAACAAGCGGAACGGTCTGGGGCTGAGCGTCGCGGAGAGGGAGCGCCGAAAGTCGGTTCGTGCTACGGGCAGCGACACGCTGTTCACGAAGCAGGTGGAGGAGGGGCTCAGTGCCGTAGTCGGTACCGGACTGATCAAAAGAGTCAAGCAGCAGGATGTCGACGCGAGAACAGAGCCCAAGCTCGATTAGAGCATTATTCAGACAAGTCAATCGCGCAAATTGAAGTCCTCATATGACGCCGGTGACATTAGATTCCACCTTGACAAGTGGGACAAGGCCAAGAGAATTGCATATCAACGAGTGACATCATTCTAGAGTCAAGACCAACGATCACCGGCATGTTAAGAAAAACCGAGACTCAGAACAAACATGTGAATAAACTACTTTTCTTTCCTCTCCCTCTCGTCCAATCCACGCATAGACACACGTTAGCACACCCAATGTGAAGATGTCCGCCCAATTCGACCTCCCAACGTCCTTCGCCAGCTGCTCCATCGGCCTCCCGCACCATACCCTCGAGCAAAAGCTAGCCGCCATCTCCTCCGCCGGTTTCACCGGCATTGAGCTCGCCTTCCCAGACCTCCAGACCTTCGCAACTCGGCACGCCCACCGCAACATTGCCGCAGACGATTACCCCGCCCTCTGCAAAGCCGCCACCGCCATCCGCTCCCTATGCCACGCGTCCAATCTCGCCATCATCGTGCTCCAGCCCTTCTCCAACTTTGAAGGGTGGCCCGAGGGGAGCCCGCAGCGCGAAGAGGCCTTCAGCCGCGCCAGGGGATGGATCGACATCATGGACGCCCTCGGCACGGATATGCTGCAAGTCGGCGCGTCCGATTCGCCCGGCATATCGGCCTCCGTGGCGGAGTTGGCGGCCGACATGGCGGCGCTGGCGGATCTGCTGGCCGAGAGGGGTTTCCGCCTCGCGTACGAGAATTGGTGCTGGGCCACGCGGGCGCCGCTGTGGCGGGATGCGTGGGAGGTTGTGCGAGCCGCGGACCGGCCGAACGTTGGGCTCTGTCTTGACACGTTCCAATCTGCCGGTGGGGAGTGGGGTGATCCGACGACCGCGTCTGGACTCATAGAAGACCAGGGAGTAGGCCCGGACGCGCTGCGAGAGAGATACAGGGCGAGTTGGGCGGAACTGGCGAAGACAGTGCCTCCGGAGAAGGTGTTTTTCTTGCAGATCAGCGATGCCTATCTCATGGGTCCGCCGCTGAAGGATAGCGTTGACGAGTCTGGGACGAGACCTAGGGGGCGCTGGAGTCATGATTATCGGCCGTTGCCGTATGATGGGGGATACTTGCCCATAGTGGAGTTCTTGGAGGCTGTTTTGATGACGGGGTTCCGCGGGTGGTTGAGTGTCGAGGTGTTTGATGGTAGGTTTGAAGCGAAACACGGGGATGACCTTGGTGGATATGCGAACAAAGCAAAGGAAGCTGTCGACAGGATGTTGGATGAGATGGCTCCGGAGAAGGTCACGGGCGAGCTTGTCTGACGAGTTCAGTGCAGAGACAACAAGCGGCTGTTTCGGCCTTTGAATAATAAGTTCCTTGCACATATTTCATCTGTCTACCTGATCCGTGCCTCAAACATCAGGTACACATCCCCATAACTTTCACGCATCTCCAGACTTGGGCAGAGTGCCTTATCCATGCTTAGCTGGACGCGCTGGTAGGCAGGCAGGAGCAAGCCGACGAGACCCGCGAGATGACGTTAGTCGGGCAGGCCTTGACTGCATATTCCGGAACGACAGCCACATCAGCGACGAACGTCTTGGTGAATTCTCCACAGAATTCCCGGCTCTCCTCGAGGCGGCCCTCGATGTTGCTGGAGCGCAGAGCACGAAGACAGTTATCAGCATTACAGCTCTTCGGCTTGCAGGCCTCCCGCTTGGTCATCTTGGCGAGGAAGCCGCCACGCTCGATGGTGTTGATAAAGATGTAGCCAGAGTCAAACAGAGCGTAGGAGGCCCACGACCCGACAAACTCGAGGCTACCGCCGCCAGGGAGAGCGTCATCTTCGGGGTAAATATCGAGGTACGCAATCTCGCAGACGCTGTTACCCGAAGGGTCTTCAGGTACAGAAGAGACGTCGTAGATGCGGACGCCAGCACCATAGTTTGATTGATACACCAGTCCGTCCTTGACATACTGGTTGTGGTCGATGCTCTTCACGTTACCCTTGTATAGGCCAGTGTTCTTGGGATTCTCGAGGGAACGAATGTCCCAGATATACGTGACAGGATATCCGTCACGAGCCGGGCCGATGACGTCGTACTCATCGTACCTGCGGAAGTTAGGGCGGAAGATTTGCGATTAGGCGGAACACGTACTCATCATCCATAAAGAGCCACTCCTGGTTCTTGGGGTCGAGGAGCCAGCCTTGGTGGGTATAGGTCGCGCCCTCATAAGAGGTGATGGAGATGATGGTTGAGTTGGACTTGTCCGTGACATCGAAACTACGTCAAGGTTAGCCATGACTCTTCTGTACAACAAAGGGGAAAGTTAACCCACATTGTCAGAGTGTCCTCGTTGTAGCCATAGCAGATATCGCGTCCCTCGTACTTCTTGTCAGGGCCGTGGTAGACAAGACATTGAGCCTAACAGGTGTCAGCAAGGGTATCATTTCTCTGACGTCGGTGAGGTGGACTATTATAGCCACATCAATCACTTACATCATGCGTGTATCCATCTTGGGGGTCACAACCAGTTTTGACGGGGTTGGTGGGATCAGACAAGTCGAAGAAGATCAAGCCACCGAAGCAGCCGCCATTCCGAGGACGAGCTCCAACGGCGACACCATATTCAAGTTCTTCGTTCACAACCACGTTGTGGGTAGCGCCCAGGGGCAGGTCGGCGAAATGGCCGGTCAGGTCCTTCTCGTTCGTAAACTCGACGGGAGCATTGGCAGCAGTAATGTCGAGAAGCTTGGTCATGTCAAAGATCTGGATACCGTGGCCCTCGAGCTCGCTTCCAATGAGAACGTAGTTCTTGAAGGTTCGAATTTCCTTCCACCACGCGTCATCATTTGTCGGAGCGAATGCAGGCCTTCCCTGGAGTCAGCTGGGGTTGAGTGGCGAGTGGCGGGAAGCTTACAGGAAGCCGAGCTTCAAAAGCTTGCCTTCTGGGAGGATTTCGATGAAGGACGTGCCATCAAACATGCCGTTGGCTGTTGGGGGTTAGCAATCTATATTCTCACACAGTCTACTTTTCCTTGACCCACCAATGAACTCTCGTCCCGACTCTGGATCTGTCCAGCCCCAAGTAGAGCTACCAGTGCGACCTTGCGAGTCCGATGACGGCGAACCCAGCTCTGCATGGTTGATAAAGTCATACAGATCCATGTTCTTGCACCGAAAGGTATGGTGGGGGTCCCCAGGAATGGCCGCGACCTTTCCGTCTACACACTTGGTGTAGTTGAGCCGGGGCCATTGCGACGAGTCGATCATACCAGAGTCGATCTCGGACTTCCAGAAGGCCTTCTTCTTCCCCATGATCGTCTCGTGCATCTTGCCGCTGTCATATAGCTCTGAAGACATATCAGCATCAGCCATAGTATGCAGGCATCATGACCTTTTATGGTGAGATCATGAGGATAACTGACCAGCTGCGCGCGCCTCGTCCTTGGGCATCTCCTTCGCAAAAGAGACAGAGGCAGCGGCCAGGGCCGCGCCTGTCAGAGTACCAAAGCGCATTTCGAGAGAGGGCTGCGATGACAACCAAAAGGCTAGATGGCAAAGTAAGAATCTGTACAGATAAGGCGAGGTCAAGCTACGGTTCGGGGACAACGACGGGAATGGTCTATTTATTCCTTCCCCAGCTCCGGATCTCGCATCCGAAGGCCAAGAGCTTCCATGCTGGAGAGAGCCCCAGCTAACAATGGCTTTGTGTATATTCAGAGCTGTCCGTCGAGCGAATCCTTGATCATTGCATTTCAATGTAGATCGAACACCAAGTTAGGAAGGCAGTTACATCCTTGGCATCAGGTACCCTGGGGGCCGGCGAATAGCCATGCGATAAGAGGACCTTACGACGTCGAGTAGTGCCCGCAACCCCGCAGGCGAGAGCGAGTCTACATTTTATCCATAAAGATTCCAACGAATGACCAATCGGTCTGTGATGAAATCGGAAGGAGAAGTTGTGTAGGAGGAGAAATGGACTCTGGTAATCCTTTGGCGCCAAGACCTTTAGCAGATACATGCCACCATAGGCGACCAATAAGCCAATACGCAGCTTGCCACAGCTAATGAACACCCTGTAGCTGTCGAAGTCCTCAGGGCTTCACCACGTGCTACGTTGATGTTATCGGGAGCTAACGGACTTCTGACTAACACTGCAACTTGAATATAAGGCTTCCTGCAATAAACTTTTAAGAGAGTTCAAGTTGCCGAGTTGGCCTCACGTAGTGGAAACATTGAGTATGTCACAATTCTGCGACAGGCTGGCCCCTTGAACCAGTCACAGGGTCTCGTTTTCCAAGAGTAGGCAGTGAAGTCTCATGTCTCAAATGACTCTCAAAGCCTGAGGAGTCTAGTGAGCAGCTCATCTCCTTGATTATTCACCTGTTCGATTTTTCTCGCGGGGGTTATTATTGTCGCAGGATGGTTTGCAAATAACTTGGGTGGAACGGTGGTGTCGAATAGAAAAAGCGGAGAACAGCGTCGAGATCAATGCCAGACGCGTAGCAAAACAGCGCGCTGGACCAACGGCTATTGATAAATTAAGCTTCAAAACCAAGCATTAGCTAATTCTTCTCTCTTCGGCGGAACTGTCATTGTTCAAGTCTGTCTACGGCATTTGGTTCAGTACAATCATTGTTCTGTCACTTGACGGTGTGTTGTCGTCACTCCGGCCGGAAAACGCTCCGGTGGCGAAGCTGCCCCACGTCATCCATGGTCAGAGCAGACAAACGACAACAGCCACGCGAATGAACTGGCGCATTTGCTCCGGTGTTTGACTGAGGGCACGATGAATTCACACGGCCATGAGAACTGTTTAGCAATGGCGGAAGACAGCTCTTCAACCGTGCGAGAAACATCATGAGAGATTCGCTAGGAGTATTGAGGACATCCTTGAATCCTTAAACTCTCCGGGCAAGTTCAGTGATTCGCCCTGGGAATCACGATGACGTCGGCCAACATCATTAGAAGGCTCAGAGTACGCTCGTGACCTCGATCGTGGCGAGGCCGTTGGGAGCATATATGACGGTCCAGTCACTCGTGGACACCAGCACGCGGAAAGTTTCGTTACGATAAATAGTGCTCGTGATAACACATCTCCATATATCGCACTGGTCAAGACACACAACAGATAAACAGATTCCAACAACAAAACAGCCCTCAATATGAGCATCACCGACGAAGTCGCGCAGGAGACTCAGGATCTCTTCGGCAATGTCGAGCAGGCACCCAAGGTATGGCCTCCCGCCTGCCTCGTATTGACATCCATCATGTGCTGACATGGGATCACAGATGGGTACCACTCTCAAGTCCAGCAACCTCTCCGGGGACAACAACGCCAAGGAGTCGAGCACCAAGGTAGCCGACAGCGACGACACTTTCGCTGAGAAGCTCAGCAGCTCCGCTGCCCACAACACCCAGCAGAACACGTCGAGCACCGACAACACCAAGACGAGCGGCTTCGCCTCAGAGGCGAGCCACAAGGCGCAGGAGGGCGGAAAGTCCCTCGCTGACCAGGTCAACAGCGCAGCGGCCAAGACCTCGGACCAGGTAAACACATCAAACAAGAAGAGCGATAGCTCCAGTGGCGGCATTCTCTCGGACGTAGCCAGTAAGGCGCAGGCAGCAGGACAGTCGGCCGCCGACCAGGCTAGCAGCACCGCTTCGCAAGCATCAAAGCAGATTCAGGACTCGACTACAAAGAGTGCGTCTGATAAAGGTGTTCTCTCAGAGACATCGAAGAAAGCCCAGGAGACCGGACAGGCGGCCATGGACACTGCGAACAATGTGGTCTCCAGTGCGTCGGAGAAAGCCAGCGAGGGAGACGGTTCGAATGACGCAGGTGTCATCGCGAATGCCGCTAGCAACTTGCAGGCTGGCGGACAAGCGGTCGTCGACAAGGTGAAGGAGACCCTCGGTGTATCTAACGAGGGCAGCACGGGCACCAACCAAAACGAGAAACCGGTGACAGAGCAGGTGAAGGAAGCCTTGAATGTTGGGAACAATAAGGCGAACAACAACCGGTCTTAGAAGAGAATCTCGAGATTCTTGTGAGATGACGCAAGTAGTGATAACGAAGCAAAGCCTATAATACCACAGATCCTTCTGAGCTACATGCCAAAAACCTCAGATGTCGAGTCGGTTGAATTTGTGCAACCTTGTTGTTCACGCTGTCAGCCCCAGCGGATGGGATAAAGCTTGGAATGTACTGAGCAGGTGACAGTCGATCTTGGAATAGGAATACGACCAAGAACAGCCTGAGCTGCTGCAAGTGCCGAGGATCTACCAGTATTGTCTTGTCTCTCATTTCATGTGATTCCAGTTTGCAACCTTAGATCATCTCGCCAGCAATTGAGGCACGAGGTGCCGCCGACAAGGTTGCATCTTGGCCAGTTCAGGAAGTTCCCCCGGCCCTGAACGCACAGCTGCGATGTACCTTTGCCGATTCCAGAGAGCAACATAACCAACGCAGAACTTGGACAAGCTTGGCCTCGAAGCACCTAGCCGCAGCCCTGTGGCACCGCAGCCAGGTTCGGAAGCCCACGATCAGCCCAGCGATGCCCAACCCTGGCCATCTCTCCCTTCCCCCACCGCACCCACATCCCGCCACCGCAAGGCCATGCCCCATTCCGGCCGCTTGCCGCGATCCTCGAGGTCGGTGAGGAGGGCTGGAGGTTGCAGTGAGACGGCGCAAGACCGTGCCTGACAGGGGTTCCCCGCAACTCGCGAGGCCAACGGCGTCCGCCCCGACCCTTGTCCACCCACACCACCATGATCTCTTTGGGCTACCCTGTTCCTGTTCCTGGCCTGACGCAGCCTTCATTTGCCCCGGCCGAGGCACATGCGCCGACTTTTGGGAGGGGGTGGATGTCTGGGGGATTTGCACATGATTTCCGCAGCCTCCGATCCATTTCATCTGCTTCCACTCTTGTAGTGTTATGCCTTCCATGCAGCCAACCCTCCTCCCTCTCCCCCCTTTTCTTGTGAGGAAGCTTGCACAGGATCGGAATAAGATTGCGCGATGAGTCGAGAGGGTGTTGTCTGACCTGGAGGCTGTCTTCATGCCGCGCAGCTTGTAAGATTAGATCTCTGCGACGCACCAATCTGACCCCTGGCGCGGCTTCATGCTTTCGTCCCTCAGTCAGAGAAAGAAGCACAGCTTTCCTCAACCCCCAGCCCCTGGTCAGGTTCTGGAGCGGCATCATATGCCGACAAGGCGTTGATCCCTCAGTCCAGCTGCCCAGTCAGGCTGCACTGCCGCCACACCAGAGCACATGCTTGGGTACAGGCAACGACCCGAAAAGGACTCCTTCGACCCTGGAGAAAGGGCGTCATTGTTGGGCCCAGATCCTCAGGGATCACCTCCATCTTGCTTTCCCCCTCCTTTACAGCTCGTATAGTGACACTGCAGCGTGACAATGTGACAGTGAAGCTCTCGCCGGCCTGCCTTTGCCCGACCAATAGTTCGGTCGTGACATCCCGGCCGGCGTTAGCGAGGCGGCGCTGGTCACCAACGATGTCATGGCGGATCATATGAAAGATTCAGGAAGTCATCGCCGAGGTTCATCCTGCGGAAGTGTGAAGGGGGAGGTTCATGTATAACTGCAAAGAGACATCCTCTTTTGGTTGCCGTGTTCGTTGCCAAGGTCTGTCTTTGGCTGTCCAAACGTGTTCGCCAGTACATTCCTCGCATATTTCTGCCAGGAGACACTCGTTAGCATTGTACACTCAAGACGCGATTTGCGCAGACAATTACCATGGTCTCTGCCGCTCACATTGCCGCCCTCCTGGCGGTGGCTTCGGGCGTTGCTGCTCAGGGAGGATTGGAACAATGCGCAAGCTTGACCACTCTCTTCCCGGCTTGCGCTGTAAGTATTCAGAGGCCCACAACATGTTGGCATTGACTGACCAGATCAGACGGGCTGTATCCTGTCCGCAGCTTCCGCTGTCGGCTGCACCAATGGCCTTGACCTCCGCTGTAAGTGATCAGACAAGCACCGCGTCTTCATGATGGACATCAGTTGACCCGGACCAGGCCGCTGCGACCCCACAAGCTCAGCTCAGATTCAAGCATCGGCCTTCAACTGTGTCATTGGCAACTGCAACGCGGATCCCACGCAGATCGAGTCAGCCATCAACGCCGGCGCTTCCGTCTGCGGCTGCGTCAATGCCGCTCCTACAGCTGTCCCTTCGGAGCCGCCCATCACCAGCGCTCCGGCTCCCAGCAGCCCTCCCGTCCCCAGTGAGCCCGAGCCAAGCGAGCCCCCGTCGAGTGGCCCACCGCCAAGCGCCCCTTCGAGCGAGGCCGTGTCCGAAGAGCCCTCTGTGCCCCCCGTCATCCCCAGCTCCACAGAGCCTGCATCTTCGGGCCCCATCACCCCTGCCCCTAGCTCACCCGGCGGCGGCGACTGCGATGCCACCTCTCCCTGTGAGGATGTCGCCCAGGCCGTTCCCAACTGTGGCCGCTCCTGCATCATCTCCGCGGCCTCTGCCTCACTCGGCTGCGCCGCTGAGGACTACGAGTGCCAGTGTGCCGGCTTCCAGACCATTCAAGCCGGCGCCGCGCCTTGCGTCATCAGCGCATGCGGCATTGCCGGCGCCGTGCCCCTCCTCGGCTCCGTCTCCGCCCTCTGCGGCTGTGTCACCGCCAACCCCAGCACCCCTTGCACTGCCTCGTCCGAACCCAGCATTACCGTTGAGCCGTCGGCTCCCGCGTCATCTGGTGGCGGCGGCGAGCCTCCCGTTGAGCCGTCGTCCGAGGCTCCCGGCCCTGGCGAGAGCAGTGAGGTGCCTGGCCCCAGTGTCATTCCGCCGCCCACAAGCTGTGCGCCACCAACGGCCCCCGACTGCGGTCCTGTTGCCACGTCGGCCGTCCCAGCCTGTGCCCAGCCTTGCTTCCTCAATGCCGCTCCCAATGTCGGCTGCGATGCGACCGATTACGCTTGCCAGTGTGAGGCTGAAGCTCAGGCCAGCCTTACACAGCTGCTCGTTCCCTGCGTCGCCACAGCTTGTCCTCCCGCCTCCCTCCAGGCCGTCATCACGGGTGCCTCGTCCGGTAAGACAAAAGCCCTCGTGCAAATGTGCAAGAACTGTCCGAGAACTAACCGAACTATTAGTTTGTGCTTGTGCTGCGGCCATTCCCACCGGCACGGGCGAGGACGACTGCCCCGGCGGATCCGGCATTCCCCAGCCCTCTGGAAAGCCCACGACCACCAAGGACGACTACCCTGCTCCGGGGGAACCCACTCCTTACCCCCCGCCGCCGCATGCCTCTGAGACCCCATGCCCCGAGCCTGAAGAGCCCGGCCATCCCGGATACCCAGCGCCGGAGCCCGAGCACCCAGCGCCGGAGCCCGAGCACCCTGCTCCGGAGCCTGAGCATCCTGCCCCCGAGCCCGAGCACCCCCGCTCCTGAGCCCGAGCACCCCGCCCCTGAGC